CATTTTTTTTTTCTCAATTTCGTTCCATTTCGCCCATACACCCCCAACCAAAATTTGATCGTTTTCGTTTTTTTTTTGTGTGGGGGGGTGGGGCCGGGGATGCGCCACCACGTGGCGTCTGCCGAATCTTGAAAGTCGCTCCCCTGCGGCCGCCACGTGGCTTCAAAGTCGCGCGTCCGCGCGGACGCGTCCGCAAGCTCGCGGCCGCGGACTTGGCCGCGGTCTTGGCCGCGGTTGTCCGCCGCCGCGGGGGATTCATAGTATCATAGACCAAGTAACCCCCTAATTACTATCATAGGCGGAGCCCTAATTAAGCAGTTCAACAAGACAACGGAAATTAGCAAAAAACCTAAATCAGATCGGAAATGCAGGCCGATCCTAACAGTTCAAAATACGTCACGAAAAAGACAGCCGTTTATCCAAATCCTATTATATCCACAATCCTATTCTCCATCCCTATAACACACCGAAAACGGAAAAGAGGATCTAACGTAAAACAACGTCCTGTCATATCCAATCGCTCCAAAATTATGGGCACACGAACAGGCGATTAAGAGATCGATGACTCGCAACAACTTTGACAGTGTGCTATGATTACACTTTCTGACAGACAAAACGACGACGCAATCGATCAAAAACAACGTTACAAAAACTAAGCCGGGACGTTGGACCCGCTTTCCAGCAGGTGTAGCTCCCCACCAATAGATTGGAGCAACCAGAACCGAACTAGGGGAGGCTGCTCATATCACCTCCCCTAGTACTTCGGTTCAGGTCTTCTTTTAAAAAAAATAAAAAAACACTCCAACGAAAACAAACACAGCACGTAAAGCAGGAAAAGCGTAAAGTCGCCGTATACTGACTCGAATCCAAGCAGCAAAACACAATACATGAAAGCAACAATTGTCGGCATAACAAACCCATCCCCTAATTTTATAGCACGAACCTAATCCTTTTTTTTTTTTTTTAAGTGCTGATGACAAGAGCAGACACCACTAGCACCTCGGGAGAGGCTCCATCTATTGGTGGGGAGCATCACCTGCTGGAAAACGGGTCCAGCGTCCCATATACAGACTGAATTTGGAGTACATCAGAAAAAAATTGTTGGGGGTTCCTGCCAGCATTGATTACCTTGGGATCCAAGGGATTGACTGAGCAGAATGGAGGAAGGGGGAACCTCTTCACCCTGAATCCGGCGCCAGATACCTACTGCTACACACTAGTTCCTACGTCCCCTTACCAGCCCCAGTCCCACATCACAACGATCCGTTGTCCCTTATGAGAATATACATGGATTGACCCATTATCTGACTTCGGTTGAAGAAGATCTGAGAGCAGTTTTGAACTGAGTACTAATGAGCCCCTTCCAGGAGCCTACACCGCCCAGGTCCACTCTTCTCCTACTGAATCCACACCAGCATCACCCTGCTGTTGGGCGTAAGACTTCAATTAGCCATCCCCATGTTTCTGTTGTCGTCCCTTGGGGGGCACCGGGGGGGGGGGGAGGACAGAGGGGGGAGAACGGGGTCATAGTCAAGCTGAGATTTCCATCAAGGAGAGGGGATGGGGAGGGAAGGGGTCCGGGAAATCATACGTGGGCCTCATCGGGAAAGTGGGCTCAATGTTGGTCCAATCATTGAAGACAAGGCGATAGTCCCTAGGAGGTCCCTCTCCTAATGGAACGGTCTGGTCTCCTCCCCACTCAACCCGTGCTATC